GGGGGGGGGGGGGGGGGGGGGGGGGGGGACGACCCTTCTTCATTTTCAAAGTGTAATTTTGAGAAAGAAAAATGACCAGAAGAAGAGGATAAAATGATCAAGGTATCCCACGAAGTGGAATTATCTTACGTTAGCCCATAATCTTTCATTGAGCGTATGTAGTGAACATGTCCCAAAACCCTTTAGCATGGTGCGACTTGACAAATTCTTTATTTAATTTGCTTCCGCCAAATAAAATCCTGGCGGCGCCATTGCTTGAATGGTTAAATTATTAACCTGAATAATTTGAACCTCCATCTAGGTGTCCTATGCTACGATAATGAGCCATCCACAGCACAGCCAAATGTAGAAAAGGCAGTCTCGTGCGTGATTTTGGACGCAAAAGAAAAACAATATGCCTTATATGCACAGCACGAAGCCATTACATTGAATGAAATGGAGACGCTATACAAAAAATACGAAAAAAGATCAGACGATAGCATTAAACCCACAATAAACCAAAACGGAGGATTCTTATTCAAGGACTACCAGCAGTTCAGAATGATCGCCCAGCTGACAACTGGCGGGAAAGTTCGACAGTTACATTTTGAGGTAATATTGGAACTACTCTCAAACTCTTTTGAAATCAATTTATTTCAAGGTCTGTCAGGGGCGTAGCAATGACTGTGTGGTTGGGAGGTGCACGACTCAATTTTGCCGACAAAATGGGCGTGGTCCAGGTGTGGTTTGGGTGTGGTTAACGACGTTATCAGCTTAAATTTTCAATGTACATACACAACGCTTAATACTTTATTTGTTACCGATGTCGTTTTGCCATGTAAATGCTTTGCCCGGAAAACTCGGCGAGCGGCTAGCCTGAAGGAACTTTTCCAACCGCGCATGTATGGTATCATAGTAATATACCACAAGGATAAAATACTTCATCTAACTACAGTGTGTTGAACGTATGAATGCCGAGTAACTCGGGCCCATATGAACAGAACGCTTGTTTGCCCCTTATACCCTGTCCACACGTTTCCGGATAAATTTAAAAACGCATAAATATTTATCCGTTTTCAAAAACACACGTTGTCGTTTCTGAATCGTTTATGGGGTCCACACGTATAAAAAACATGTGCCCGCAATCTCGCTTACCCTTAGCATGCATTCCTTTTGGGCTTCGCTGCTTGGCCGCGAAAGTCAAAGCATCAAACGGTGTTCGTGCCCCGTGGTCTTAAGTTGACAATAGTATCGATCAAAATCAATTTCAAAAGAAAAAGCCACAAAAGCAAAGGGAAAAGCCAAGAACGACGACTTTGTTTGGACAGACGACTAAGTAGAACTTCAATCCTTTAAATGTCGTAAATGTTTCATTAGTTGGCACTAACTAACTAGATTCGAAAAATTATTGTTTTTAAGGTCCTTGGTAGTATAGCAAGCACCAGGCGGTGTGCGCACTGCGACCGCAATGCATCATGAGTAAAATAAAAAATTCACTCATTTGCGTTCTGACGTTCGAGGTGAAAACACTGTGCACGGCCGAGCGATGGGTATATTAAAAGTGTCTTTTGCCCTTCTTGAAAGAATCAACTGTAGTGGCAGTACATGTCAAAGAACTTCTGGAAAAGTTTGTGCAGTCGATGCATCCTGCTGGCTGCACAAAGCGTTGGCTGTGAGTTTCAAAGATTTGGCGATGATCGCAAGTATGTTTTTATTTATATGTTTACTTATCAATTTGTGCAGTGTTTCAATCGCTAAACTTATGTATATTCTATTTACTTTATTGTTCTTATGCCTGTATTGTTATTATAATTATTATGCAAACTTTTCAGGGTTGTGGACATACGGTAAAAGTATGCATAGACACGGAAATTTTTCTGCAACATTATATTGTTTAATTTAATGCAATATACAAGCCAGTTATATGCTCAGTACAGTATCTGTAAAATTCCATGTAATTTTAGTTATGCTTAGAATTTGCCCATCATTTTAGCACTTCTAATGCCATCATAGGTCACAATTTCTATAGTTTGACTACACAATCTTACCTAAAAACTATGGGATGAAAATCATATATGCCATGCCAATTCAATTTTTGGTATCACAAATATTGTAAATATAATGCAACATTGAAAAGAGATGAGGTGCTGTTTATATGATCTCGGGTTGGGAGAGGCAAAATTATATTCATTATATAACATTTAAACGCAAGTGTTTATATGGAAAGTTTTCGTCTCGGCTGGTAGGGTCACCCTGGCAGTAGGGACACCCTGTTTACAAAACAGGGTTACCCTTGTAGGAGGGACAACTCTTGTCCATGTAAATAGTTTGTCTTGGCCTCCAGGGATAACTTTTCATTCCCAGGCCTTCAAACAAATAACTGCATGTTTCAGGAGTCACAATCTCATACTTAGAGCCATTCTCGTAGGAAGAGATACAGTGCCAGGGCTATAAATTTTTTTCATATAAACATGCAGTGAAGTTGTCTTGTGTGGATTGGGTGTCTCTAGTATCCAAGGTCATATAAATAGCATCTAAGTAATAAAAGGTCATTGCCATGGCAATTTGCAGCTGGCAGGAAAACGCTTTGCATAACAATATATGGAGAGTAAGAAAAATGATGTGGTTTAAATTGAACCACATACTAGTTTTCACATCTAGTTTTCAAGAACTTTGTATGCCTTCCACTCACTAGAATTTCCCCAAAAATTAAAAAAAAATCCAAATCCTCACACCTTGCCCATACCCCTCCCCAGAATTTACATTTTATTGGTGCACAGGAATGTCACAACAATTTATAATCTATGCCAATACATTGCTAATCAGACATTTGATCAATTTATTTTGCAAAATTCAAATTCCCATTTTTCAACGACACCCTTTTTATGTACAAATGCATAAAAAATTATAGAGTAAATTGGAAAGTAGTTGTGTGCAGTAAATAACAATTTGTTATTATCCACCTTTCAGCTTTGCTGTAAAAAAGATATTCAGTACATAATGGCACCATATGAAGCAGATCCAGAAATTGCATTTATTGTGAATAATGGATATGCTGGTTTTGCCAGCCTTGTCCCCAAGCACTTTGATTTGAGGCTGTGGTTTTGCAGTGTGTTAAGATTAGGACCTGCTTGTATAGAGCATTTGCACCCATTCCCCAGGGACCAACTCAACAAAAGCCATGGCAGCCATGTTGGTGTTCCAGACAAGAGTCTAATTAAAATTATTTTGAATTGGAACACCAACATGGCGGCTGTGACGTCATGTGCAAATTCTCTATATCAGTGTGATGTTAATGCTAATACATGGATTCTAGCATGTTGTTGTATAATAATTGTTGTATAAAATGGGATGTTTTTGTTTGCATTTCGATGATGGTGGTCATGTATGCAGGTATAGACTTAGTAAAACATTGTTCAATGAAGTGTTATAAAATATATGAATAACAAATTTGTTGTGATTGTATATGCTTTATAAACAGCACAAGTGTAGTGGGTTTACAGTGTCTTAACAGTTTTTCTACATAACTCACAGCAGCATTCATAGAACTTCCATCCACACCAGCCCAGTTTGTGTTTATAGGGAGAAAGTTTTATCAGATTGGGAACCAGGTCAGCCTGGCAGTTCAAATACATATGCAAAGTAGTTCATACCATAACATAATTAATACACTGTGTGAAACTGCTGACATGGGTGTCCTGCTTCTAAATATCGGCTGGCCTGGGTGGGGTAAAATTTACACAGAACTATTATTTTCAACATTGACTTGGTGAATGCCCAGGATAATGCTGTACACTATTTGTGCGAGACACCAGCCTCGTCCCTGGCGCTTTGATGTGCTTACTGGTTGTGTGACGCACGCGCGGGAATCGAGGTGCGTATCAAAGCGCCGGGGACGAGGCTGGCGAGACACTATCTGTATTATTACATCCGTAGGTAAGGCATTTTGCAGCAATGTGGACTACAGTATACATGTCATATATTTCAGGTGCTATTTAAGCTACAAACAAATGGTATGGGTAAGTCAGGGTAACTTGGTGGAAATGGCAAAAATTTTAACACATCTAAAATTAACCAAGGAAAAGTTTACTGATATGTGTATTGCAGCTGGTTGTGACTACATAGAAAATATCCGAGGTATTGGCATAAATAAGGCTAAGAAAATTGCTTGTGAGAACAAAAATTATTTAAACGTGTTCCAGTCATTGCCATTTGCTCCAACTGACTAGAAGAAACGGTTCCAACAAGCACAAATGGTTTTTCACCACCAGACAGTCATTGATCCTGTCAAATATGAAACAGTCCCATTAAGTCTGTTCTTCGGTTGTCCAACAGTCTGCCATTGTGTATTGTGTATTGTGTATTGTGTCTTGCTCATTTTGACACAATTATTTTTTCCATTTGAAATTTTTTTTTGCTTCTCTTTTGCGTTTATTATTTCGTTGCCGCTTTGTTTTTTGTTTGCCTGGCGTATGGGACTCTGGGATGCACGAACGCTTCCCCAAAATAGCGGGAGAACATGAACTCTGGACAAGAAGACCTGAAATTAGCAAAGGAAATATCATGAGATAAAAGACCAAAAAATATATAATATTGAGGGGCGCTAAGGGGCGCTATTAAATATGGTCACAAATAATGGTCATAGATTATGCCAATTGCAATTTTAAATGTGATGTGTGAACGGTTAAGCTGTGACATGTAAAAGTAAATGGACCAGTGTATTTGGGAAAAACACACGAGTTTACAATCAAATGATATTTTTTATCGAATTCCAAAAATTATCGATTTGAAAAGTAACACGGCATAACAATATTACATGTAACTTCCTTTTTAATAAAAAACAAAAAGTTTAAACTTTAAAACGTGGCAGAAAATAGAGCGCCAACATACCTTTAATCGTGCTAGAAATCCGCCATCTTTAAGAAAATATCCAAAATAATGCATTGCGGTCGCAGTGCGCACACCGCCTGGTTATAAATATTGTAGTCGCATTCCTGAATGTTTTGACCAAGGCGCTTATATATCAAATATATAAGCGCCCTGGTTTTGACGTGAAAACAATGACACGTTTTAAAAAGAAAAGTATCACAATATTTGCAGAATTGGTAATATTTCTATTATTTTTCAAGCGTTCTCAATTACATGGTAGGATCAAGTGTACGCTAACTGAAACATTGTACTGTACAGGTTATATTGGGTGTGTAAGCGAATCAAGCGAATTGAGTTCTGATGATGAAGCTAATGAAGTGCTTGGATGCAAAAATGGCTATGACTCTGAAAATGACTATGAATCTGAGAATGACCTGGTGTATGAAAATGAATCCCCGTATGACACTGAGGATGATTCACAGTCACAATCAAGTACTGAATTTGATATCAATTCTGACAGTGAGGAACATTACAAGAGGTAATAGTTGTTTGGAAGTTAGCTTCATCCCACCAAAATTTCTAATGAACCATTAAAAAAAGCATCCATACCTCCCACACAGATGAAATTGGAAGTTAACCCACCCCCTTGGATATCCTAATACACATTACTATCCCCCCACCGGACAGCAGAAATTTCCTCTGTGGGGAGAGTGTGGATCTTTTATGTAATGTCCCAATTGTAATTTTTGGCAATCAGTCACAGTAATGAGGTTTTCCAACCAAGGGGGGGGGGAACAAATATAAATTAGGGGGGGCAGCATGTCAAATTTAATAGTGGTTAACTTGACATTTCATTCTTTCCCAGGTGGGTAATTTTGCCAGGATGGGACCTGCCCCCTCCCACTCCTGTGTGACACTACATCACTGATCAGTCTGTAATTGATCAGTTCGTGTTGAGCTTACTGAATTGTTTTATTATAGGGTGTTTGCAACAGACAACAATTTAAGATCAGAGCCAAAGTTTATTGTGTTTTTTACACAATTATTTTTAAATTTTGTCCCAATTGCAAAGCAGAAAATCCTGATGTTGAGGTTCACCAAAATGGTACTATGGCCAAAGTTAAATGTACCTGTACCAACCCTAAGTGTAACAATAAGAATTTCACGTGGACCAGTCAACCCCTTATTCCTGGAACAAGATTACGAGCTGGAAATTTCCTGCTGTCTTTTGCAATTATTGTTGCTGGAGCATCTGCAACCAAAATCTTAAGAGTCTTACAACACATGGGAGTAGCTCGTATTTCACTATCTACATTTTTCAGTCACCAACGTGTAAGTGAAATTTTTAACAATATTGCTTGTGTGTCAATTAATTACTGTCAGATGGTTAGTTAAATACAACCATTTTTAATTGCCAATAGGAACTTCAGATAATGCTGGATGTGATGGTACTGACCTGAATACACATTTCCAGAAAGTACCGTATGGTACATTGGTTATTTATTCTCAGATTCATGATTGATATCATATATATTTTATCTTTCTACTTAATTGTGACATAATTGTATGAATTAGGTCTTTTACATTAAATATATAATTTATTATCCAGGCACATGATTTCATAAGCATGTCACAAATAGCTGAGATAAACGGTTTTAGGCCAACTGGCGTAGCCAAGGTCTGTACTCCCATACACTCCGGGCAGAAAACGAGGGGGGGGGGGTGCAAAGTGTAGAATAACAATAAAAATATTTTTTCCTTGGTTATTATTTTCTGTCAGCACATGTTTCAGAATGTGTGAAATGCTGTTTTATGGACCCTAGTAATTCAAAATTTCAACAGGGGAACAATGTCCCTTGTTGCATCATATTTTCCTGTTATCATTCTATGTCTGTTTTGCCCCTTCCCCCCCAAAGTCAACAACCTGGCAACGCCACTGTTTGGGCAGAGATCTGAGATCTTGTCTCTCAGATCTCTGCCTATTAAACAGTGGCGTAGCCAGGGTTGACTTTACAATTAGTTTATGGAAGCATGCACTGAGTGTGATTCACAACCTGTAATCCCCCTAGCTGTTGTCTGTTGAATTTATCAGTGTTGAAACTAGCTTGGAAACTAGCCAGTTTAGTTGAGGAAACTAAATGACAAATAGATAGCAGTGTATATTTTGATTGATTGTTAAATAGTAGAAGTAATTTATATTATTCTCATTCTAGGAAAAATTGTTTCCTGCAATCCTACTACACTGGAAGAAATACCAATCATGTATGATTGAACAATTGAAGTCTTCTGGGAAACAACTTGTTATTGCTGGTGATGGGAGACATGATTCAATGGGGCACAGTGCAAAATACTGTGCATACTCAGTGTTTTGTTGCACTGTTCCCAACATTATTGATTTTTCTATTGTGCAGGTAATTTGATCTTAATTCATGCTTTATTTGTGTTTCATGA